TTTCCCTACTCGTGGCTTTGTTTACTGTCCCAGGGCTCTTTAGTTTTTAGTTTAGTGTAAAGATTCCATGGGGCAAAGAACTGCTGTTTTGAGCAGCTTGTAAATGATGAAACGTTACACCTTAGAGCACACAAGATTTGGATCCAGTTTAAGATTTTGTGCTAATGTTCTTACCATATAAGTGTTTAGCTATCATTCCTTTTAATAAACCTTAACAACAAAAGGAAAGTCTAAAAACTACATTTCTAGAAAAAGTGATATCCTGAACATTGAAGTTGCTTTAGTTACAAAGCTGTTGCAGCACAGGCACCAACAGCACAGGACTTCTTGAAGTGTTGGTATGGATTATATTGCCTTCTCTGGTAAAGAATACAAGACAGGTCAAAAGTGACTTAAAAGCAGTATCACATGAGAGATATTGGATAATACAAATTATTTCTGCAGTTGATTCCTGATCAGTTGCCAACAGAGGATGGCCTACCGTTCCTAACAGTGATTTTTCTACACTGCTGCCAAGGTGCTGTAAAGATAATGTTATGGATGCTGTCCATCCTGCGCTAAATGAGGGTCTATCATGCTGGGAAGCACTACTTCAGAGGATAATTGTGTGCTGTGGTGTGATGTCGTGTCTTTGGTGGACCTTCTCTTCTTACCTTGCCAATCACCCTGTAATGAGGCATATACTACAAGGAGAGAAAAGAAAGAATTTCATTATTCCATTTTGTTCTTAAAAGACATTTATTCTTTAACTAATTTCATTTTAGTACCTCTGTGAAAGGAATTAAATAAGCATATCGTGAGAGCACTAGTCAACATTGTTAGATCAATTTTCGTATTTGTTCTGGCATCACTCCTAGCTGCTAAAATCCATCTATAAAATCTGTCTTGCTGAAGTTTTATGCAACTTCTTAATGTGAACTAATATTTTGGAGCACAATTTCCAAAGCAAGTATGTAGGCTCAAGTCAGACATCAGATTCACTTACCAAAAATCATCATATTCTCATTCACAGCCCTCTGGCTGCCTTCTCTGTAGCTCTTATGTGATGATGGAGTCTGAGTAAATATTAGTTGAAGGGCCAGCTGTCAATGGCTGTAAGCACTGTCCCTTCTGTCCTCTAAGCACCAGTGTTACAATTGGGTCTCTCTAGTCCTGGGTTCTTCACAGTGAACTACTTTTCTAATGCAGGCAAAAAATGCTCTTTTAGTTGTCAGCATGCTTAGTGTGCTACATAATAATTTTTGTTTCTGATACAATGATATCACCCTGACTTTTGCTTCTGTTTTGGGCTGACAATTCTGGAGAAGCTCAAAAGTTTCATAAAATTTTATGAAATTATCATAAAACAGCTCAGCTCTGGCATATCTGCATTGTATGTAATTGTACTTGTAAACAGTAAACATAAGCAGTACTTCTGTGCCTCAGTGAGACAGGCGGGTCTGGCAATTCAGTGTTTGGGAGTATGTGGTTAGCAGGGGATTTTTCACGTTTCTGTTCTACGCATTCCAAAGGCTGCTGCAGAGCTTCCTCCCTCCCCACTCATCCTCCCTGGCATCTGGGAGTTTTCGCATCACGGTTTTGGTTTGACTTGCTTCTAGGGATGCGGACAGATCACAACATCCTGGTCTAAACATGGAAATTGGTTTCCTATAATCAGTTATCTCAGGGTTTTATTGGAGGTGAGAGTAGTATTACATTTTTGTTAAACAAAAGCTTACAAAGCAACAAATGAGCTCCACAAATCAGTTTAAACCATATTTGCCCTGGCTTGTCACCACAATGACTCAAAAAAAAAAAGAATGTATCTCCCTGTATCCAAAACTGAAGCTAAATTACCTCCTCTACCTCACAGAGCTTTTGGGTAATTTGCAACCTGTGAGCAGTGGACACATCCAGCCCTTCGGGAGGACCAGTTTTTGGAGTGACCTAGAGGGCAGCGGGGCTGTAGCTCCACAGCACACCCAACTACACAGTCACCCAAGAGGCGGGCAGTGGTAGGCACCAGCACTTACTGAGTTAGGTCACTGCTCTGCAGCACATTGCGTCAGTCAGGGCCCTGCTCTTCACACTTGACAGCCCCAAGGTTTTCTTAGTTTTCCTCTGACTGTGTATTGTACTTCTCTAAATCCAGTATTTGCCTTGAAGCAATTGTATTCCTAAAGTAATACTTTCTGTATGGACAAGGTTTATTTGGGTTTTCCCCCTATTTTCAGTGCATTTCCACTAGTTTGATAAGTGATTGCTGATGTTTGCCCACTTATTTCTGCTGTAACTTGAAATGGTCCTAACTTGCTTACAGCCATAGTTAATGAGATTTTTCCTCCCACTTCTCTGCGTTACAAAAGCCTGCTTAGTTATCCAATTTGGAGCACAGTTTAAATATGTTTCCAGGGCCTTTCTCAGTCATTTCTTTTTCTCTCCCTAATAAATGTACAGGGTCCCGAAGGAACACCAGGAAATCCAGGTCAGAGGGGCCGTTTAGGAAAGAAGGTAGTATTTTTTATCTTCCCCAGTTCGTTTCCTTTTATCTGAAACTTGAATTTACATTACAAAATAATTCCTTTGAACCAAGTATGTCCCTGGTTTATGTCACCCTTCAAGCCAATTTTTTTTTTCTTGCTAGCCATAGCAATTAGAATTGTCATCATTCTGTAGCCAGTAACATTCAGGAACTTAGCAAATTTAAATTTGTATCAGGATGTGATTTTGCAACTCAGAACAGTCCCTGCTGCTATCAAAATATGTTTAGCTTTGGCTAAAACAAAAGAAAAAATAGAAAGGCTTTAGCAGAGTTTTTTTTCACTGCAGAGTTCTGGGTTTAGACATTCAAAGAACTACAGTAAGTGACACATGCAAATATAAAACTCCTATTAAATAATGCTGTTATATACTTTAGTTAATCATAAACTGCATTTTGAAACTTAGTATCAGTCTCTTATTAATTTTAATACAATAACACCAACAGGGGGAAAAGGGGCAGCTTGGCCCTCCTGGAGAAATTGGACCTGCTGGTGACTCTGGCCAACCTGGAGAAATTGGCCCCAAAGGTGCAAGAGGAACTCGAGGTCTCTTGGTTCGTACAAAACATGCTTATTTAAGAGCTCACATATTTCTGGTTTAGCAGAATCCTGTCTCTCAACGAGAAGAGGCAAATCACAGCTGTAGCACATACAAATATTTTTTGTGGTAGCTGGAGATGCAGCAGTGTCCTTCTCAGCCTGTGCATCCCAATGAGTGCCCTGGTCTTTCAGCATCAGAATGAGACCTATGCACCTGTCCAGACAGAAACACGAGCCAGGGACCTGGAGGGAGTCATCTTATGCTCTGGTCAGCTTCCTGATCTGTCAGTCAGAGGAGCAGGATGGCAGGGCATGCCATTGAATACTCATGCCCCACAGTCCACATATAACCTCACTGCTATGGCTGTTTCTTAAACCTCTCCAGTTCTGAGAACAGAAATCATGAGACTTGCCATTACATGAAATAAGCCTTAGCCATGTCTGAAACAAAGCATTTGAGATGAGGACTGCTACTCCTGTTGAATGGCAACCTGATCCAAAGTTAACCGAATTAAGTATATTTCCATTAATTTTACGAGCGCCTCTCGACACAAGCTCCCCAAGCTTGCTCCAGACTGTGTGGCAGATGCACAGGCACATGCAGCCACCACACTAGTGAGGCAGTGCGCCCATCTTACTGCTCCAGGGCCCAGTCCTGTGGCCACTGAATGCAGCACTTTGTCCCTGAGCACACGAAGTACAGAAGTAAAGTAACTATCTAATGGCCAATATTTTCAGCAGAAGGACTTGAACTCAGCTTCCTAAGTGAGGACCACCCTCAGCTTCTCTTGCATACTGTGTATTTCTAAACAGTTTCTCCACACCTCCGAACACTCAGATCCTTTTGATCTTAATTACAAGGGATTATAAAGTTAGGACTGAAAACGTTGACCAGTTTCCACAGAACAGGGAAAAGCCCAGTATTCTTTACCAAATGAATTTGGACCTAACAAGGAAATTGTCTGTGATTCTGAAATCTCAATATTTGAAGATTTTTCCAAGTGATAACTTTATAAAATGTATGCAGTGTTGTAACATTTTTCTGTCACTGATTATTGCATTTAACAGGGACATCCAGGAGGAATGGGACCGGAAGGAGAGTCAGGAATTCCAGGTTATGGGGTGAGTTTTTTAGTGAATTCTTGTACACACACATCCCTAAGGTAAGTCTGTGGTACTCTAAATAATTTCAAGTATCAGGGGGATCTGTATCTAGAATACACAAGTACCTTTAGGAATGTCAGATACATTGGTTTTGTTTTTTTTATCCACAGATTTGAAACCTTTGTTTGTCCAATGCATCTCGCTCTTTGTGAATAAAGTTCCTACAAAACTACTACGACTCTTCATTATAGAGTTCAGCAAACACCACCACCTCTGCTTAATGTCTGACCAGGCAGTTTCAGTAACACAAACACTGATGGAACAAGGTTACTTGAAGGACATACAGATATTGTGACTGATCATCGTCATAGATGGATTGAGTCCTGCTCTTATAGACCAGGCTGCTGTGTCTTTTTTCCAAACAGAAACTTACATCAGTGGCCCTAAGCCTGCAGTAAGAGCCAGCCCAGTGCCCCTCACCTGCATCAAGCCCTGCCAGAACCTTTGGTTTCTTACTGTACACAGAGTTTTCCTGCACACAATACATTTTCTGCCTGGGTCCATTAATTTTGTGCCACATCACTATTTAGCATTATTAACAAGCAGCAAAAAAATAATAGTAATAAGCATCTAAAAGAAAGTTTGGAATTAATTATTTCTTTAATTATTTGTCTTTGAACTAATTTTTGTTTTGTTTGCTTCTTTAGGGTCACCAGGGTCCTCCAGGGTCCCCAGGGCCCCCAGGACCCAAAGGAGAAAAGGTAGGAAGATTGATTATACTGTCTTACAGTTTCAGTAATTGTAAAGAGAGGAAATGTTACTGCATGCTCACTGTTTTCCACAGCATGCAGCAAAAGCCGGCATTAGCAATATTTATTAGTATTGTGAGAGAATATGAAAAGAAATGCAGAACTGGGGAAATGGATCATTCAGAGGCAGAGTCCTAATTACACAGCTGAAATGTTTCAGATTTTAAAACACAAAGTACCCATTGTAAGAAACACATTCTATTGTATCAGATAGCACCCCTGCCCTTAGCAAGCAATGCTGACAGAAATAATAAGTGTGGAACCAGCTAAGTATTTACTTAGATTTAAACCTGTGAGTACACCCCCAAATTTTGCTGAAAGTCCAACCAAGATGAACAAAGGTCTATGCTTAATATAAAATGTTAGGGGCAGGATGTTGCTTTGGTGCTGCTATTTTAGGGTCAAATTCACTGTGGTTCTTTTAAGTCTCAAGTTCTGCAAACGGCTTTGTGTGCTAACTGAAGTCTGTGGTCCCAAGCAGGTACAGGAATTCCCGTGAAGATTCCCCATGAAGATTAGTTTGGAGTTGCACCAGACAGAGAAATACGTTCTTACATTAGGGCCAGTTTTGCAAAGAATACTGCTAATAGGCAATTAGTGGCGATTTATAACTAGGTTCCGATACAATTTTCAGAAACACTAACTGAAAACTAAATTCTTGGTAGCTAGGTGTCTAGCTTGCTTGGTCACTTCAGAAAAAGCACTTTGGTTGGTGCACTTTGGAAACCATTAATCATATTTAAAATGTTAGCTTCTTTGCATTCAATGTTGGTAAATATCATTTGGAATTGACAACTTTTTGCCTATTAGGTTGGACAGCAGTTGTTTCATATTTAACATCTAATAGAGTTCAGGCTGATTGTTGGGAGTCTTCTGTACGCTGGTTTGTCTATTTGAAGTATATTTCTCAAAACAATGAAAGAAATTTTGTTTTTTCCTCTTGTCAAATATACTGTTTATCCTTTTTTTCATTAAATAAGGAAATGATTACATGGACATTCTTCAAATACTTTATATATATATATATATATAGTTGCCTTTGAGAACAGAGCAAATAATTAGGTTTTTTTTAATCCTAAATGTCTTTAGGACATTTAGGTGCATGTTAAAATGGAGTTACCATTTCCACTGTATTAAAACCATAAGCATCATATTCACTTCTAGCATCTGTACAGTGTGCTTTCTGGGTGTTTTTTAGCATTTGAACATGTGTGCATTGTAGATGAGTATGAATTTCCAAGTTAATATTTGTAATAATTATCTTTGTTTTAGGGTTACCCAGGCGAAGACAATACAGTTCTTGGACCACCTGGGCCCATAGGTGAACCAGTAGGTCCTTCTTTCTCAAAAAACTTATATGAGTGCCTCTCAAGACAAGAGACAATGCAGGCTCTTTCTGAAACTTTAGATCACTGTCTCAGGAGTCAGTACTCCCTTGTACAAAAATGTAGAATGGTGGTCCTTTAATCGGTAATCCCTCTTTAAAAAATGCAGTCATGTGCTTTTTCCTGCTTAAGAGTATGTGCCCTGTGTTTAATTGCACTAATGCCATTAGTCTGTGTTTAGACCAGCACATTTTGGAACAGAATTTTACCCTCTGTGTTTATCCTGAATTATACCTAATTGCTTTACTAAACAGAAATATGTTTTGACTTATTTCATTATCACTACAAGGCTAATTTAGCTGATTCAGAGAGAACTGCATTTTGAAAACTTTTTTTTCTTTTTTTACTAAATTCATATGTGGGATATCTCTCTGCAGCAGTTACAAACACGTCCAAAAAAAGAATGCCATCTCAAAATCTTGTTAAAAGTGTTTCATATTCAGGCTTTGATTGTGCCAGAAGAAATACTTGTACAGCCTACTTCTCTTTGGATTAACCTTAATATTTATACTTCACCTTCTCAAAAGGCAGGACTATAAGACCCTGATGTATCTCAAGACAGAGTCTGGACTAGATTCTGAACTGAATTATAGAAATGCATGAGAGAAGAGATTCCAGACAATTCTGTTGTAGTCAAACTGGCTCTGGAACACTGCTCAAATGTTGCAAGCAGGGCCTTTCCACCTTGTGGATTCCCTCTAGGAAACATGTCGCGAGGCTGCTGAAACCTTAGAGTATACAAGCAGTTGCATAATAGTATCTATTGGTGGATATGCACTAGAAGTGGCTAATCTGTTCGGTTGTGAACTGTAAAGATACATTGCAGTTAGAGGTGCCTGCCAGCTTTTCATTATGTGCCTGTACTTAAGTGGGAAAAAGGTAGTCCCTTATTATTTCATCCAACGATCGGCTGGACATCTTTTGGGAAGCCTTAGCCATTCTTACTTTCTATGGGCATGGTTTCCTATCCCATCATTTTTTCTTTGACTGAGATTTGATCCGTTTGCTGCAATGAGAGTTAAAATTCTGTGGAAAAATTCCATTTCTTTTGGGACTGGAGTAAGGGCCTTTCCCTAAAGTAGAGCCAGTGTGTTTCTGAATGCAGCAGGAAGAATCATGGGACTCAGAAAAATCATGCCATTCCCTCTGCTCCTGTGAAGTTCTCATATGTGTGAGGCATACTGAGGGATTGAAGTTGCCTTTTTGTTACGACGAACTTCAGAATTAAAGCAGATTCTGAGTACAAGAAGTCATTTCAGAAAAGAACTCCATTTTTCATATGTTGTCCTACAGAAACCATAAGAACTTTTCTTGCATGTCTTGAAAACAAAGTTTCTTCATTTATTTGTGGAAATTTTTAATTCAGATATCGTACATATATGGGTATAAACCTGGAGAAGTTCTGCTGAGGTCAACACTCCTATTTTATTTATACCCACGTAAAACCTATCTTTTAGCTTCTAGCCTTCAGTTACATAGTATTTTATGCAGTGTCTACAGTCTGACTGCAATGCATTTTATTTAGAAAAAAAGTAATGTTTATTCCTTTAGACAAGCTAATTTTAACATTTGTAATCCTCAGTCCCGTCTCATTGGTTAGTCTGTCTTGAGGGAAATTCCAGCTCTTTTTTTGTACTTCATTACAACATTAATTCAGTTCAGCTGTTATATTTTGCTCTTTGGTTTTCTCTCTAGGGTCCTAGTGGTGAACGTGGAAATAGAGGAGAACCTGGTGATGAGGGCTACAAGGTAATACTTCTTGCTTTTTATTCTTTTTATTTGAACGTGGTGTACTATGCATACATGTAGAGTAATGTAGAGGAAGTATCTTCTCTTACAAGTGTGCAGAGAAGGACGTGCTGGTGCCTCACTACACTGATGAGCTCTTAGAACATATTGGAGTATCTTTCATCTGAGAAGCTGAGAGAGCTGGGAATCGAGCTGGAGAAGAGAAGGCTTGGGTGATCTTAATGCATAGAAATACCTAATGGGAGGGAATGAAGATGAAGGAGCCAGACTCTGAAGGAGCTAGCACTATTTCTTCATAAATCTAACCCTAATAATTATTCATGAATTGTGTTCAGTCTTTCAGGAAATACAAATTGGATGGTAACTCATGCTAATCACTAGTGCAGTTTGTTTGCTGAAGTACAAAAGAGACAGTCCTTGACACAGAATACCCTGTTTAAGTTACACAGACAATACAGATAGAAATAATAATAAATCAATTAACCAAATATGATCTATGCTCACAGAAGTGCAGAAATGTTTAAATGATATGTAATTTCCACTGGCAGTTTGGAGCTTAAAGAAAAGCTCCCTAAGGTCTGATCTCAAACTATGCTCAACTCTCCTATCTAGGTCACGTCAGTGAAGCTGGGGCCACCCAGCACCTCCCAAGATGGGCTTTACAGAGAAATCTATAGCTCACTGAACGTGACAGCCTGAGTTACTTGTATTGCAATATGTTATATTTTCTGCTTCCCAGGGTCCTATAGGTCTTCCAGGGCTTAGAGGACCTATTGGACAACAGGGGCCTCCAGTAAGTGTTTCAGACAAGTGAGATTTCTCTATTGGCTGTTGAAAATGCATTTTCATCTGCAATCAAATGTTTATTTTTACTTATTTAATATATGTTCTTTCCAAAAGGGAGAGCCAGGTGAACTGGGAGAGCAAGGACCAAAAGGAGAAAGAGGTTCAGAGGTAAGTAGAAAAAACTAAAGCAAAACTGCACTGAATTGGAATTTGTATGTTTTTACTGTGCACTGATTATCCTTGGAAAACTGTTATATAAGGCTAAAATTCAGTATTTGGGTTTCCTTTTCGTACCTGCAGGGACAATAAAAATGTAGAATGGAAAATTGCATAATGATCTGGTATAGTAAATATGTGTTATTTGATTGATAAGTGGGTTTACTTTGAAGTGATATAAAGCATTATGAGACGCTCTTTTGGAAACATCTAAGTGATATTCAATTTGTACCCTTAAATGGCGTTTTCTTGTGGCAAACTAGCTCTGGAATACACCCAGGATTTTACTGCTCTGATTTATAAATGAAACCTCCTGGTACTGCACTGCACTGAATTTTCAGAGAGACCTGGAAATAAGGAAAACAGAATAGTAGAGGAATAATGACAGAGCAAGTCACGAAAAACATCAAAGACTAAATCTTTTCCTTTAGAAATAATAGTTCATCTTGGTGGTGTGTTGAAAATTGCCAAATATATTTTATATTCTCCTGTGGGTGGCTTTCATTGGCTTTTGAGATTTCAAAAGATTTCAGCTAAAAGATTCTTACAATATCAATTACCGTTGCAACTGAAAGGAGATGTTTTGTCAGAGAAGTTCCATAGCGCAACTCTGTTAGAGTTTCAAAATTTTCTAGGTAAATACAAGAATCTGTAGTAGATTAGAGTAGTAGTGGTAGAAAGAGAAGGGAAATATGATGCGAAGACATTGTCAGCATGTACTCTAACCATGCACTCAGATATATTGCCTTTGACAAACTACTCACAGCATGGGATAAAATCAGTCATTCCTCTGTTCTTCCCTTGGAGAACGTTTTCACTGTGTTGCAAGTGCCTCTCAGATTAAAAGTGCCATTTGCAAATATGGGACCAATACCCAGCCTGGAGCAACCCATAAGAGCCTAAAAATTTATGCAAAAATGTTAATAGTGAAAACATTCATACAGTCTTAACTTCAGTGGCGTCACTGGTGCTGCTACAAAGCCAATCCCATAAACTGCAATGCTGAATCATCTGGGTTTACTTTATATGCATTCAGAAATTTTAATAAAAACAATATAAAGTTCTTTGAATATACACATTCCAGTTCTGACTGGTGGACTATTTTATGCCTTTCTTAACAAAAATGCATTAAATTATGGAAAAAAACAAAATTTTGCTGATTTTATCATATTTACATTGGTTATAAAACATTTACGCTTACAGTCATAGAATCATAGAATAGTTTGGGTTGGAAGGGACCTTTAAGGGTCATCTAGCCCAATCCCCCTGCAGTAAGCAGGGACATCTTCAACCAGATCAGGTTGCTCAGAGCCCTGTCCAACCTGGCCTTGAAAGTTTCCAGGGATGGGGCATCTACCACCTCTCTGGGCAACCTGTGCCAGTGTTTCACCACCCTCATTGTAAAAAAACGTCTTCCTTAAATCCAGTCTAAATCTGCCCTCCCTTATTTTAACGCCATTACCCCTGATCCTATCACTACGTCCCCTTGTAACAAGTCCTTCTCCAGCTTTCTTGCAGGCCCCTTCAGGTACTGAAGGCCACAATAAGGTCTCCCTGCAGCCTTCTCTTCTCCAGGCTGAACAGCCCTAATTCTCTTTGCCTTTCTTCATAGACAATGACCTTAGCTTTTTCACTTTATTTCATGTTTTGTAATATTGCAGCATAGTAGTTTAGCATCACTTTTGCTTTAAGAACATTGTTTGAAACAATTAATCCAGAAAATCTTGAAAGATTTTTCTCCTTCATCTATGCTAATGAGTGTTATTCCTCTCCCTGCCGTCTGAGTGGTTTTATCTTTTAGAGCTAGGATAAAATTCGTGCCATAGATCTTTATATTCTGTCAAGAATATCCTATAAAGAAAATTCTCTGACATGATTTTGACCCATTCTGAGCTTTTCTTCCTTGGTGCTTGGCCTCCTGTGTCACTAAACCACTTACGAGAATGTTATCTGCTATCAGTATCCCTCAGTTTCTAAGACTACAGATTCCTAGGTCAGTCAAGACAAAAAAAAAAAGTCTGATTTTCAGTAAATTTTATCTTTTGTGTATATCTTAGATAAAAAGAATGTTCCCATGTGTGACATTAATGCTTTCTAGTATTGTCTTCCACATATATTCAGTGCATGTACATTGTCTGCTTTTCAGGACTTCCCTTTTAAAAGGTCCAGGAAGCGCTGAAAAGCACGCTTCCTTACCGAGGTGTGGCTGATAGAGAAGAAGTTGCCAAATTCGTAGTGAAAAACTTCTTACACCTATTGTTATTGAAAAAGTTCTGAAAACTACAGTTTACCAATTTGGGAAAGGGAAAAATTTATACAGTTCTACCAAAAACTTATTCACTTCTACTTGAAAAAATTTCTGCTGTCTCCTGAAATGGAAATAATCTGGCCCAAAGCCAGGCAATGTGAGCATGTGTACTAGAGGGGAACAATTCTCAGCTCTTAGGGACTAAGCTTAAGACATTTGTCACTTCACAAGTATTTGTAACTTCTAGGGACCTACAGGGAAGAAAGGAGCAACGGGTCAGACAGGCAAACCTGGAATTCCTGTAAGTAACAAAATTCTACAGTCTACCTTCAGGTTATAAACAAAAGAAAATTATAACTAATAAAACCAACATTAAGTCATGCCAGTGGTAACAGAAAGTCTTATGCTCACTCTAAAGAACCATCTTATTATCCAGGAAATGTAAAGGAACCCCTGTGAAAAGAATAATAATTTTTGAATCGATATTAAATGATACTAATTTATAGTCAGTTACTCAGCACATGGAAATAAAGTGCAGCTAATATAACAAGGTCCTTCCCACTTGTGAAGTTACTTAACTAGATCATTTTTGCATGTGGCTTGTAGACCATGTGCAAATTATCACATTATATTGCACAGAACTGCTCTACTGTTCACTCCTGGCTCCCATCAGTTCTTTGAACAGCTGCAGCCTACAGAAGCCTGGATCCATATGTCCATGATGGATACGGCTGGTAGATCTCTTGAGACTTATGTCTTGCTGTCACTTGCCCTGAGCAGAAATTTTTAATGCTTTTTCTTGAGTTACTGTAGAGAAGCTAACTCGTATCCCTTTCTCCCTGAGGGAGAAGAAAGAGCAGGATGCAGCAGGTGTTCTGTAAACTTAATCAAGACCAAAATGCATCAAGGCTATTTTGGCTCCCTAATGAATAATACCACACAAGCGCATATTGTGAATAACTTTTACTACCTTACATCATAACATTGTCAGTAACCAGAGAAATGCAGCTGCTTCACAGAGCTTGTACCTGCTGAGCAGAGTGCAAGAAGAGCCTTTTGAAGGCAAGGAGACTGTTTGTCTTTTGTAAATACTCGGCTCTTCTCTCTGGAGGACTGCAGAGAGCATATTGTTTGGCAGGCAAAGGAAAAGAGGGAAAAGCAAGACATATGGAAAAGTGAGGAGGAGAAGACAATAAAACTGGAACTTGAGGAAGTCTCAAAGCACATCACAAGGGCAAGATAATTCAGCAACCAGAAGTCAGAAATGAGATAAAGATGGCATTCTTCTTATCTTCTGTAGGGCTGTTGTTAACTATATGTTTTCAAATGACATGTGTTGTAGTTAGCATATTTTACATTTCTGAAAAATGCATTCATACAGAGATAATTGCAGAACTCCAAGCCCATTAAGACAGTGTATGTCAGTCTAAAGGGAAATGATTGTAAAGAAAAAAAAATCACTGTTCCTTTGGTAGATGTGACATGAGGCTTTTTCATGCAAGTATAGCAACAGTTAGCACAAACTTCTCTAATTAGAAGTTTGTATGTATTTCTGATATGCACAAATTTGAACAGTGTAAATTTATGAATGTACAATACAGAGTTTCTATTGAAATGAAAGCTGAAAAGGTATCCAGTTGGGTTTTTTTACAGGGATAAGTAGATGACTTTATCAGGCTTCCTTGCTTCAGTTTAAGAATCAACACTCTCAGCCATCTTCCAGGCCTGGCATGCAGAGGGGTTGGCTCCATGGTTTCAGCTGAAGTTGCTCAGATTCCACAACACAGCAAGTCTAAGGTTAAACCAATAGCATTTTAAACCAAACATCCTAACTCAGAGCCTCCTCTGCGAGTATTCGTCCATGTCACTGGGTTTGTTGTTACGTAGGGTTTAGGAAATACTGTGACTGAAATCTAGTTCTGTGATGGTGAAGATTAAGAGAGCCAACAGTGTTATGCTTGATTTGAATTTGTTTCAAGGGAAAACCGGGGCCAGCAGGGCAGCTCGTGAAGGCAGTCCGGTGAGCCCTGTAAAGCCTGGGCCATCAGGCAAGCCTGGCCCTAAGGTAAGTTGCTGGCAGCATTGTTCCCCTTTATGTCATTTTGCATTACAAATTTTCTAAGTTTAGGGTATTTAAACAGAGAGAACCATTCTCAGTTCCTTGAGCATCCTGAAAATTAGACCAATTTTTTGTTTTCTTTCTCTTTTGACCCTGATATTCTGGCCAGGATGTAAAGTTAGCGTAAGAGAAGTGTGCTGTGAGAACTATTTCATTAGCATAAGCTAGTAGTAACTACAGCTAAGTGAAAATGCTTTCTTAATAAGAGAGGCTTCACAGTTCTGTTCCCGAAAATGAGCTACAGACCCCAGGGAGACTGTTTCCTCTCAGACTGAGATAATCCCACATTTTCCTTATTATCTTTGAATTTGTAACCTATGTCTCTCTACCTAAGCGATTCTGAACCTTTGCCCAAAATGAGTAAAAAAGCGTAGTAGGTATCTGAGGTACCTGGGAACGTGCTTGGAAACAGGATTTTTGTCTGCCTGTCCTTTGCTGTGGGCCAAGGGTGGTGACCTGGCTTCTGCTGCTTCTGGGAGCAGTGACACAGCTCTTCACTTATCCACTCCAGAAAGGAGGGAGAAAATTCCTTTAGCTGTCATTGCTGAAAGTCTGCTCACTTTGATTTGGGGTATGGTATTTCTCAGTAGTTCTAGTTAGATGGACCAGTAATTGTTATTAAAGGATGCCAAGTTAGATTTGGTGTTAGGGATTAATCAAGGTGCCAAATGAGGCACTGTTAGAAGTACAAATTTCCTATCTGCTTGAACAAGGAAAAAATTAAACAAGTTAACCGTAGGGGGCAGATGGACCCTATTCGAGCCTCTCCAGCTTC